TATTTCACTGTTTCCTAAAGGAGCTATCACTACCTCTTGAAAACTCTCAGAGAAGGTAAGGCAAGCTCCCGCAAGTTTAAATTAGGGTGTGGTGCCTTCCTTTAGCAATCAATGGAGCTATTGGACAAAGCCTCAGAATGCTGAGTGGGAAAAACAAACTAAAACAGTTTCTGATTTCTTTAATTTTTCTTCTTTTCTTTTTTTTTTGGCACTGGGATTCACTTGTGTTACAGAACTATCACTCAGATCAACTTTTGCAGAGAGGAACCTGTTCTTCCAAGCAATTGCAAATGTCTCTTTTGAGAGGTTCCCCTCCCATCTTGCATCTCTTTGGAATATGATAATGGAATACTGTGATTTTTTTACTGTTCTTTTTTTCTTTATGTGAGTCTCAAAGAGAAATATTCAGTGTAGCAATGCACACCCTCCTGGTACTTAATTGCTCAGAAATGGAGATATTAACATGTTTTCATCTACGGCTCTTTGCCATCCGTTAGTCTTCACTGTGTACACTAATTAATTTTTCCTCTTCTGAGAGCTTTACCTCAAATTAGTAAGTTTCAACAAATTATTTTTAAAATATCTCTCTTACTGTTTAATTAGAGGGAAAATGTTAAATACCCACATCGTGCATGATTCCATATGGAATTTCAAATCCACAATGACTGTACTGTCTGTATGTTCTTCAATTATGCTGCCTTATATTATCCTTTTTATATATTTTATATTTTATGCTTTGTTAGTTCAGTAAGTCTTTTCCTCCACTCCCACCTCTCTCTCTCTGATTTGTTTCTCGGTTCACATCCTACAAGATCATTACTCACAGTTGAAATGAGTAAGGCCATTACTCACTCTCAAATATATGAAATCATTACCTATATAAGGAGGATTATAGGGGAAGAAAGCAGGGAAGGGGTACGGAAAATCTCATAAACTAGCCACAGTTTGGACTTATTGATATTACACAATCTTTTTCTAATTAAAGTAACCTGTGAAACGTAATACCATATTTGTATTTCACATAATATTAGTCTTGATCAGGACATTGCACTGCAAAAGAAGCTGCAATATCACTTGGTAATTTACAACTGTAATATAGGGATGTAAGCTTTTGTTTGGGAGCCAGTGTGGTATAGTGGTTTCACTGATGAACTATGACTCTGTTGACTAGGGTTTGAGTCCCTACTTGGCCATATAAACCCACTGGATGACCTTGGGGAAGTCATACTCTCTCAGCCTCAGAGGATGGTGATGGCAAACTCCCTCTGAAGAAACTTGCCAAGAAACCCCCATTATAGGTTCATCTTGGGGCCACTATAAGTCAGAAATGTCTTGAAAGTACACAACAACAACAACAACAACAACAACTCTTGTTTGTCTCTTTTGTTAGGGATTTAATTCTTCACTATGGTTCTTCTTGAAAGAATCAACAAGTAATATTAACAATTTTCTTCCTATAGTAAGAAAGTTTTCAAAACTTGTCATTTTTTGAAGACAATTCACAATATGGGGTTATTTTTTGCAAGATTCACACGTTGTTTTGCACAGAAAATTTTGCAAATGCAGGAAACTATATTTTATGTGCAGAAAATAACATTTCTATGCAGAAATGTTATTACCTGTAAAGAAAATACTGTTTCCTCTGCAGAAAATATTTTTTATACACAGAATACATTCTGAACTGTGAAGATTCTCGTCATTTGAGGATTCTTCTTGTTAGGGTTTCTCAACACTCAAAACACATGAGTGCCAAAATGAGCATAATTCTTTCTGCACTGCCTGTGAGAAAATGCCTTTTCAGAAGAGTTTTAGCATTTGTGAAAATTGGTTTTGCACAATTTACATACAACTTGCAGACCTCTGCAAAATTACAATAACTGTTGCCCCATGGTACTTACAGACTTTTGTGCAAAAATGTTCCTTGTCTCTCTCTCATGCTAGAGATGAGAACTCTTCTGGCAGCTCAAAATGTCTTAATCCATCAAAACAGACTCTTTTCATGAACAAGACATTTAGTGAATATTCTTAACATTCTGACTATACTGACTATATTGTAATTTTGCATTTTGACATCATGTTAAGTGTTGTAGCACCATCCTATGGAATCCTGGGAATTGTAGTTTTATGATGTCTTTCTCCTGCCAAAGGGTGCTGATGACTCACAAAACTTCAAATCCCAGGATTCCATAAGAAGGAGCCATAGGAGTTAAAGTGGTGTTAAGCTGCATCCTTTGCACAGTGCAGATGCATACATAGTTATTGTGCCATTGTTATGGGAAAAAGGATAAATTGCAAGTAATTAATTATTTGTAAGTAGTTATTCTCAAACTCTATTGCAGATATCCAGCACCCCAGTGCATGAAGGAATAAAGAGAGAAATTAAAAGGATATGACAGAGAGTGTGGAACCAACTGACTCATCCCAATTCTTTCCCTTATCCAATGCTAATTGCATGGAGAGTAAAATTCTGAATAGAGTTATTTTGGGCTAGAAAAGAAAAACTTTAATTCATAACACAGCTGAACATTCTTAACATACACTAAACAGGATAAGCATACATTTAAGCTCCATCAGTTTTAAGGATCCAAGGAGTGATGTTAAGACAAGTAAACTGGATGTAGCACAAGCCTAAACTCCAAATTCTGTTGATGACATTTTAGAGCAATTCATAGCATGGACAGGTAGACAACAAGCTATCTCTGGCTGCATCCACACTGCAAAAATAATGCAGTTTGACACAACTTTAACTGCCATGGCTAGATACTATGGAATTCTAGGAATTGTCATTTTATGAGACATTTAGTGTTCTCTGTCAGAGAACTGTGGTGCCACAACAAACTACAGTTCCCAGAATTCCATACCATTGAGCCATGACAGTTAAAGTGGCATCACCCTGGATCTCTTCTGCAATACAGATGCAGCCTGTATTGCCAGAAAGTTGTCCTGCCAGCTTCTGCCAGTGACAACATTTGCTGCCATCTCCCTCAGTGTTGTAATGCCTTTAGACATTTCTATCCCCACCACAGCACCATCACTTTTCAACTGCTGGCACTACCTACACCAGCATAGTTATGCTAATCAACAGAGTTGCAACTACTCTAACATTTTCCATTGTTTTTAAAACTGTGGTCATATCTTTTCTTTTCTTTTCTTTTCTTTTCTTTTCTTTTCTTTTCTAAACTGGATTCCTGTTTCATATAAGCATGAGTTTATTACCTCTCAGCCCAGCAGGGCCCTCAGGCAGTACAGCAGTTAAAACCATCACTTAAAACATCAAATATAAGCTGATATAACTTTATTTAAAAAGAGATTAAAACAATTTCATATATATATATATATATATATATATATATATATATATATATTAAAAGAAAATAAGCACAGGTTTTAAAGAGCCAGAGAAGGCACCTATGGTGTTAAGGACCAAAATGACACAATTTCAGCTGCCCTGCTCATCACAAACTCAAGAGAGAAGCCAACCCAACTTCTCTTTGGAGGGGCTTCCACAGTTAGGGTTCCACAACAAAGAAAACTCACCAGTTTGTACCCACCAATTTACCTTTTTGTGATAGTGAAATGTATACCAAGGGTCCTATCTGCACTCTCCATAAGCCCAGGGCCAGTCTGGAGCATTATGTACAATGGGAGTTGCACACACCTGACTGCACCCAGTGCAATGATGCATTGTTCAGCCAGGCCAACACTGCATCAGCATGGCTGGCCCATCAGAGCCACACCACCACCGTCATACCTGCAGGAACTCCATGGACAAGCTGCCCAGTATTCTACAGCATCTCTGGAGAATGCACTTGCCTATGCAACCAATGAGGAGAGAGGGCAAAAGATTTCACTGATTCAGACTTCTATATACAGTTTTTAAAAGTGTCTTGAATTGAACTCAGAAGTTATCGTAGTTGGTGTAAGACTGGAAGTGATTGTAGTTGGTGCAAGCCTATTGATACTGTGGGCCCTTGGTGTCTGCTGGGGTTTGGTTCCCCTGTGGACACCAAAATCCATAGATGCTCAAGTCCCATGAAATATTGTAATGAATGAGTGGGTTCCGAGCTGACTGTATGGTCCCAAATCAGAGAACATGGCTGCGTGCAATGCATTGATGTGGGAAGGATTGGACATTGAAAGCGAGAAATTAAAAGGAATGTTGAGTTGGCCGGAGCAGATGGAATTTGCAAAATTTGTACAAACAAGGTGTGCTGGACACTCCGAGCTGCATCAACTGATAAGTACTTGGCATGATAGTTCAGGATGTTTTAACAAACCAAGGAAAAACATGTTTTCGTCAAAAGAAAGATGAACAAGGTATAAAAGAAGTGGTCTACCAGCCTCACTTTGTTGGCACCTACCTGGGCAAGGTGTCATCCCAACCTTCATGGATGCCTGATCAACATTCAGTAGAGGACCTTTGTGAGTATGTCTGAGTGAATGTGTGTGTGAAAGAGCTCCTGATACTTAAAATGATTGTCTTATTTGTTATTTGTTATTTCTTATTGTCTTATTTCTTAAATGTTACATGCATAGTGTCTAAACCCAGATCTGGTTTCCCATGTGTCTGTATTGAAATCCTATAGTCTAGGGTGGCTAGATTTCTCTCTGGATCAAAAGAACAACAGAGAACCTCAGTTCATGACAATATGATGGCATAGTAAAATGGTGTCCTTTATATAAAATTGCAAAACCAAGGTTTGCTTTTTTGGATTTATATTTTTTGGAATATTTTCAATCTGTGCATGCTTGAATCCATGGATAAAATATCTGTGCATATAGAGGGCCAACTATATGTGGTCTCTAAGGAGATTATTGCATTACAAAATAACACAATTTATCCCTGATTTTATCACATTCAAATCACTGCTGCTGCCAGTGGGCAACTGCAACCCGGCTGCAGACCAGGTCTCAGCCACGCTTATATTACCACTTATCCAAAATGGGAGCTTGCCATTTTGGAAAAGCAGCCAGATAAGCACAGCTGGGACTCAGACTGCAGTTGGGTTGCACCTGATGCTGGTGGCAGTGGCGGTGATTTGAATGTAATAGAATCAGCTATTTATCCAAAACATGACTGTATCCCATCTGGGATGTTGCATTATTTTGTAATGCAATAATCTCCTAAATCTGACTGTCTCAAACTGAATTAGCTGTAGCCTTCTACCCCTTTTCAAGGAGAGCCCCATGTACAGCACATTACAAGAGTTTAACTGGGAGGTAATTAAGGCATGAATCACTGTGGCTAGATCTGGTCTCCCTAGAGCAGGATGCCACTGATTCCACCCAAAGTAGATCAAAGGCATTCATCACCACAGTAGTCATCTGGCTTTCCAGGAGTAGCTTTGGGTGCAAAAGCACTCCCAGGCTGCAAACCTGATGCAGCTCCATCCAGAATCTCAGTTTATCTTTCCTACCAGCAATAGAACTTCTATCTTGTCTAAACTGTGCCTTGAAATCAGCCCTTCATTGCATCCAGACAATAATTCAGGAGTCCCACAGTTTCCTTGGTATAAGTTACAAAAGAGAGATAGAGGTGGGAATCACCAGCATACTGTTGATAGGCTTATGATGAATGCATGGTAGGCTTGTATTGGTCCCTCCACATTCGCTGAGGTTAGGGGAAAAGGAAACGCAAATGAAAAACAAAACACTTCTTTTTACATAAGAGAACACCTCTCTAAGAATCTGCAAGTCCTCCAATGCAATTTTGTGGTCAACAGCTGCCAAAAATTGACCAGAGAATCATGTTGGAGGACTAATAAATGCCTAGAGAAGTGTTTTATGGAACCGTCTGCTTACATCTCTAGACAGCTTTAAAAAGCTGTTAAGATGGATCTCTTCCGGCAGGCCTTTCCATAATCTGGGGGAGACCATAGAAAATGCCCTCTGGGAGGTAGCCGAGAGCCTAGCGTACACTAATTAATACACACTAATGATTCCCTTATGTTAATTTTGACAGAAATTAATTTGTCGGAACCCTTGGTCTAATAATTGCATTACAAAGCCAGGACAGTCATAGAGGTAGATAACCTTCTGCTTAGCCCGCCTCCTCATCAACATGTAACCGCCATTTTCCCTTTAATGGCTTATCTGCATTTGATGTTGCTAATGTCTGTAATATTTGTTTTAATCTGTATGGTTTTAATTCTTAGTTGATTTAATACTTTTTTAAGGGGGGGAGGGTACAGGG